AAGCGGGGCTGCAGAGTTGCAGAAACAGGGACTGGTAGAAACGGACGGGACATGGAGTTGAAAAGACGGTAAGCTCAGGGCACGAACACATAAGGCTAACTGGGTAGCGTAGAATAAACGTAGGGTAAAGGTAGCGTAGCATAAAGGTAAGGTAACAGTATGGTATGAACCAGCAAAGATGTGGCGGAAGATGGTGTATATATACCTGACGGAACCGGGAGACAACGAGCAGCAGGTGGGAGGAATGATGGCTCATTGCAGAGAGAAACCGCAAGGGACAGGACCGGGAGATAACAGGTAACAGGTGACTGACATGGCGCCTGATTGCGGTGACCGAGTAGCGGGGAGAGAACAGGTAAACAAACAGAAAGCCAGGAAGCCAATCAACGCAAAACCGTAACACAATGTCTATGTAGAGTGTACTTCTGTAAGGCAATGAGTAGACAAAATAAGATTGAGAACAAAAAAAGAACATTTATGGGCAAATGAGAAAAAGAATGTGCATTAAGAAAATAAAATACTTCTAAATATAAATATACTGTATGTGTACAGTATATACACACAATTTAGATGCAGTTTCCCAGATAAATACAGTATATACAAAAGTATATTTACAAGGTATAGTACTGAGGGTTGTCGTTCTGTCATACAGTCATAGGTTAAGTGACAGCCTGGGGAAAGAAACTGTCCTTGTGCCTGGTTGTCTTGGCATACAGTGACCTGTAGCATCATACACAGGGGAGGAGTTCAAACAATTTGTGTGTGTGAGGTGTGAGGGGTCTGCAGAAATCTTCTCTGTCCTCCTTTTTACCCGTGAGGTGTACAGGTCCTCCAGGGAGGGTAGACTGGCATGGGTAAGTTTTTTTCTCCAGTCCTGACTGTTCACTGGAGTCTGTTCCTGTCCTATTTGGTTGCTGAGCCAAACCAGACAGTGATGGTAGAACAGAGAACAGACTTGATGATTCCTCTGTAGAACTGTATCAGTATCTTCCTAAAGTCCACTGTCATCTCCAGGTCTTTTGCAACCGCACCAATTCGTCACTATCTAGGATAAGACTGATGACACTTGTGTCATCTGCAAACTCTGGGAGTTTCACAGAGAGATCCTCTGAGGTGCAACCATTTGTGTAGAGGGAAACCAGAAGCAGGGAGAGCACACATCCCTGGGATGTGCCTGTGCTTAAGAACGAGAAAACGATCAACAACAATAAACAAACAAGAAAGCGCACAATCGAGGTAGGCATCCGCACCGCCATCTTTGTTGTTTAATATCAAAAGATTTTAAAGGAAAGTCTCCTACCATCAGCCAGAAAGCTAAAAATGAAGTGGATCCTTCAACAAGACAATTATTTGAAGCACAGAGCAAAGTCAACTCAGGAATGGTTTAAAAAGAATAAGGTGAAAGTTTTACCATGGCTGTCTATTCTCCAGACTTTAGTATCAATGAAATCTTGTGGATTGTTTTGAATTAGATTTTAGGTATTTTACTATAACTTTCTTTTTATACACCCCTGACCATTGTATTACTTCTGATGATGAAGGAACAGTTGTACTAGCTGAATGTGCAAATATTATATTGAGAAAATTTTTTTTTGTTAAACTCTTTTTGCCATTTCAAACTAAGGGGATACAAATTTTTGCACCCAACTGTACGTGTACTTTTGGCCTGGGGCTTTTTTTTCCCTGGATTTGCCTGGGCCCCATTAGTCCCAATGAAGTCAAATAAATCTGAGCACTACATAATACAATGATAAACATAAACAACAGTGTGCTTCCAAGTTGGTGGCAACCACTTGTGTATAATCCTTTCCTGTCAGCAATGCTCCATACACAAATCCAGCTAAATGTTTGCCCCTGTTTGGTGTGGAAGAACATAACTTGCCTTCACATGGCCTTGACCTCAATGGTCAATGCCATTAGTTTTGCAGGTATTTGGCCCAAAACTGAGGTACTTGACAAATGAAAAAATGGACCTGATGGTGATGCTAGCTGAAGCTCCAGGAATATGTTGTTATAATTCATCCTGTGATGAGCATGAATGTGTGTACCAAATATAACTGTAGTCCATTTGTGGCAGTCTCTCTAATAGTTATGTCAGTCTGAATCAAATTGACAGAACCATGGCAAAAAAATTCCTGAAGAGCATCACTATCACACAAGCTTTAGATAGTTTTGGAAAACATGCTGACTGAAATGTAG